GATCTAAGTGATTAAATCTAACTACAAACATGTAAGTGAAAGAATTCAAGACAGATACAAATTGATTGTATTGTAGAAAATAAATACTTTATAGTCAATAATGGACTAAATTTTTATACAAGTTCAAATAGGATATGGCCTATTGAGATCTTCAAAATCATTTTATATTAAAAAAATCATGGAAAGATATTAATTTCATATTGCATAGTTTTAAATTACCTTCTTTTAATGAATAGTCATAAGAATTTTATTTAATGAATGTTTAATTATTCAAATTATTAAATATATTATGGATAATAAAACATCAAAATTGTGTAGCATAAAAAAAATAGTCTACCATAGTTTCAATGACCATATTAATGTTATGCAGACCATGCTTATTAATGATGTAAAGAAGGCAGCTATAGCAAGTAAAAATAGATTTATATAAGAATCTAGCAATCTTGTAGACTATATTGCTATTAAAGACTTTGGCTTTTATTCACTTTGTTTCTTAGTCCATTACAACCAAAAGATTCTTATGACTATTTTAAACTATTTTTTGTAAAAAGCTATTGAAATCATATCTTTATATTATAAATTATTTACTGAAGAAAGAAGTGAGAAGTTTAGTAGAAATAACTTTCTTAAGATTTCTAAACTATTGGCACTTGTTCCAAGATATATAATATGTGTGGATATTGGCGTATATTATTAACCACTAATTTCTAGTGATAAGAGTCTTTTGTAAGATAAAATTCATAAGAAGTGAATGTCTCTTGGACAAGAGTAAAGAAATATATATATATATATATATATATATATATATATATATTGAATTAAATCAAATAAAGTAAAATATTCAAACTTTATCAAAATAGTAGAAGAAATTGTTTTGAAATAAGAATTACATAATATATTTAATCATAGATTTAGTTGTGAGTTGGTATATGACATGAAACTAAATAAACATTTGGTTTTTATTGTAAGTATCTTTGTATCAAAGTTAAAATGCATCCAATATATCTTCTAATGAGCAATTAGAGTTCATCTTAATATAGGTCATAAACCACTTGTAATTACAAACATCTTAGAAGTTTTGATGAAATTAGCTAAGCTTAAAAACTAAATATGTTTTATTGTTGAAGTTGATAGTATTGTAAAGCTTATAGATATGTATTATTAAGCACATACTACATCAATAAATGAACATATTTTCAATCTTTTGGATAATAGTAGGCAATATTTTTATTCAAAAAATTAATGATATTTAAAATAGAATTTAAAATATTAAAAGATAATAATAATATTAATAATCAAAATCATATTCAAATCATTTTAACACTGTGTTGTATTACATGAAATTTGCTTAAGAATGCATTAGACACTTGATTGTAGAAGGAAAAAATGGAACTTGTAATAAGATGATTTTAACAACTTGAATGGAATCCTAAACAAACTTCAATTAGATTATAATAATGATAATAAATCTTTAATTAAATCTAAAAAAAATCTCAATAATTCATTAAAAAAATATTAAAAAATCATAAATTAACCTTAATAAAAAATATATAATAAAAAATATTTTTTTAAATATCAAAAATAGAAATCCTAATTGAATCTTAATCAAATCCTAATGTAACTATCAACAAATTTTAATAAAATCCTAAACCAATCCTAACCAAATTTTAAACCAAATCTTAATCAAAATCTAATAAAATTCTTTCTAAATCCTAATTAAATTCTAATCAAATCCTAAATCCTAACCTTAAATCAAATCCTAATAAAATCTTAAATCCTAATCATACTTTAATCATATCTTAGATAAACTTTAAATCTTAACCAAATTTTAAATTAAATCCTAAGAAAATTTTAATCAAATCTTAGACTCTAAATCAATCCTAATCAATCTTTAATCAAATCCTAAATCTTAAACAAACTCTTAATAAATTCTATAGTAGATTAGAATTCAATAATTAATGTTGGAACCATTGATTTTGATTCAAAATTTGCAAACTTTGCAAAAATTAAGTTAGCAACAAGTACAAAAAATTGAAAAGGATTGCACATACCAAATAGATGACAATTCCTAAACTCTACTTGAGTATTGGCTAGCCTCTTTCTTCAACCTTAATGTTTATATTCTCCAACTAAGATCTCTTAATTTTATTGTTTAATTGGTTTCAAACTTTGCACAATTATTAGAAGTCAAGGTAACTACCTTTAAATAGAATTATATTTTAATTCAACGAGCAGATTGATAAATATCTTAGAAATCCTCATTGATCTTTTAAACTCCAATTTCTTAGACTGTAACCCACAAAACTCTTTTACTCTTCAATCTAACCACTCAATTGACCTCAAATTTCTCACATTTACAACAAGCACAACAACAAACTACCAAATTTTTATCTATAAATATGCTATAAAATTCACAAAATCTTGAAATTTGTATCCTTATTTTTACTTTTCAAAATCTAAATCCACCAAATACATCTCTTAATTTGAAAAACCCTCAAAACCTTAATATTACTCCAAATGGCATGAAACCAACTCTCAAAAATCTCTTCTCAAGTTTGCTCTCAAATTCCACTCTTTGATTGATAAAAGAACTCCAATAACATCATAGGTGCTTGGTTTTATGCTTTGGAGTTTGATTTTAACCTTGGTTGGCAATGGTTCTTCTCGGAGTATCAATTCTTATTTTTTTGAGATAATTTTTGCTAAAATCATTTCTTAACTCCCTCTTAAATTTGTATTCATTGTTTATTTTCTGATCTACCTTGTTTTTTTTATTTATGGTTGTAGAAAGTAAGTAGAATCCATTTTCATAAAAAGCAATTTTGATATTATAAGATTTTATTACTTGCCTAACTTTTATCTATATTTTTTTATTATATCTTTTTAAATAGGCTCTTCTATAATAAAATATTTTCTTTCTTCTTTTGCCTACTTGCCATGTTACTTCATAACAATGGCCTTTTTGTACACATATACTATCTTTAATTACTTGTGAAAGCTAGCTATCTTTTTTGTAGTAGATACTTATTATCTTGTTCTAATTTGATCTAATCTAAGTGTCTAGTTTTTGGATGAGTTGAGTATTCTTTTAAAATCATGATTCTATAAACAAAAAAAAATAGAGTATAAAGATATTAAAGTAGAATAATGCAACAACAAAATTCTACAACAAAATATGAATAAAATAAAATAAAAAAATGAAATTAAAGAAGATACTTTAAAGGTGATAAAAAATATAATAGAAAAAATAAAAATAAAAAATAAAAATTAGGTTACCAATAAAAAGTTCAAAAAATATAAAAATAACATATAATAAAATAGTATAAAATAAAATAATATAAAAATTAAAAAAAGAAGCAAAAAAAATATTATAAAAAAATATAATATTATAATAATTAAGAATAAAAAAGTATATGATGCCAAAATTTAAAGAACGTAATAAAAAAATAAAAAAAATTAAAGAAATCAAAGACAAAAATGAATTGGTAGTAAGTTTTGTAAAAATTATTCATCATCAAAAAATTCAAATAAAAGCAAACCAAGACCAAAATGCAATACCAAAAGACAAGGATGTAGCAATTGAAAACTACAATAAATAAAATCTAAAACAGTAATAGAATGTAGCAAATATATTAACAAGTTTAAATTATGAAAATACAAAGAAAATTTAGCAAAGAGTGAAATTATAGAAAAAATAAATAAATAAATAAAAATAAAAATAAAAATATCAATAAAAATAAAACTAATTTGTATATATAAAAAGAAATTTAAAATATATGTTTGGAGCAAAGATAAATCAAAGAAAAAAAATTAAACAAAAAGAACAAGAAGAAAATTTATAATATATAAAATTTCTTAATTTTCAGTGAAGTTCTTTTAATTTTATAATTGAAGTTTTACATTTATTAAAAAAATAATTATAAAAATTTGGACTTATTAAATTTACTTTCTTTTTTAAAACCATAAGATTATAGCTAAAAACCTTGTGTTTATTTGAAGAGGTTTTTACAACAAAATATTTGTTTTAATTAACAAAACTTTAAAAAAACTAATATATTGTAAACCAAATAGAAGATAAAAACTTTAATTTATTTAAATGATTTAAGATAGCAAATAATTAACAAAAAAAAATTCAAAAAATTCAAATGAAAATAATAATTGCAATTGATTGAAAAGAACTCTACTAAGACATAATAGAATTTAATCAATATATTTATCAATTCCTTGGTCTTCCAATCTTTATAGATGTTAGGACCTTTAGCTCTTATTTCTATTGACCTTATTGGATTTGGACCAACTTGGCTTTGTCTCATGTACTTACAATAGTATTTTTTTAGAATCAAACGACCTCTGAGACAAAAAAAAAAAAAATTGATGATATTTTGGATAATCATTGAATTTACTTAGTTGTAAGTAAGGCTGATGAGCCTCCACTAGCATTAGTCAATAAAATAGGGGCATCTTGTGGCGCATTTCCTACATTTGTAACGTATTCATGCTAATTTTCATTTCGTCCATATAGACCTCACATGGTTGGAATATTAATTCTTAAACTTATGCAAAACTTAATGTAGATGAAGAAATGCATGCCATGGGCTTTTTGTATTGGTACCACAAATGATCATGACATCATTAAGGATCAATATTGTTTTCATTTAGGCCAAGCTATGGTCCTCAACATTTTGGTATGGATTTTAGTATGTATCTTGCTATTCAAAAATATTATTATGACTTTGAGATTGAATATTTGGCAAGCAAGTGCTATAGAAATTTAAGCAATGTTACATTACATGTGCTTCATTCTAATATAATTTTTATTTAATCTTATTGTATATTGGATTACTACAATGTTATGACTCTATTACATTAATACAATGTAATACACAATATTTTTAATACAATTATGTAAAAGCTTATATATACAAAAACATAGCAAAACAAAATACATAACAAAATTCACTTGCCCTTCACTCCTAGTTGCATTGGTTTCTACTAATGTGTATAGATATATATATATATATATATATATATATACAAACTTTAATAAGTCTTCAGATTGACAAACAAAATAGGCGAAAGTGGAAAAATTACCGACATATTGTTCAGAGTATCGTCATCTATATTTGAACACAATACTAATAATTGTTGAGTATTATTTACACAAATCATATTCCACTTTTCCTTTTCTTTTCTTTTTTCTTTTTTTTTCCATAGCTGCATAAAAGATCACAACAACAAAGAAAGATCTGCTGACGTTTTGTATGACTACGTTACAATTAAAAAAGCCACTGAAATGAAGTCCTTGCACACATACAAGTGAGTCCCCAGCTACACCACGAAGCGATCGTTGAAGCGTGGATCAGAGACACGGCACTGATCTCTCTTCCCTAAAATAGAGTAGCGATTGTTTGCAACGTTGTCATACACAAAGTCTCTGAAAAACCTGCTCTCACGTTGCAAGTCAACGTTAGGACCCAGTTGATTGTTTGTTTAAGATAACGAGGAAAAGTTCGAAGACTGATGGTTGTTTTAAAGCTTTTGGTTCCATGGTGTTAATTCCACTGACATAGCCAAACTTCAAGTCTACATGACACTATGCAGAAGCTCTGACAGAGCACAAAGACAAGGTATTCTTCCACTAGTGAACTCAGATGCCTGCAAGGTCGATGCATGATGGAGCAGGTGAGGACTTACAGAGGGAATAGAAGGCCAAGACTACCGACAGGAGGGAGTAGATTTCCAAGGTATTGGGCGGTTCGTAAAACGCCTTCCGATTTGATATACGATCTGTGATGATCACCCACATGAAAAGTTTTGAGGAAAGGATTCAAACTGCTATGTGACATAAACCTGAATCGGGTGATTAAATGTGAAAAGGAAGGAATCCATAATACAGCATCTCGCGGTTCGAATAGAGGAACCTGAGTTACATTGGATATGTTCAAGTAGGACAATTGAACCAGTTCGACTCAAAGATCTCGTGCTTGACGCATTGCCGAGACCTAAATGCATGAAGACATTCTCACAAGAGGGTAAGGGTAACAGCCTGTTTAACATACCTGTCTTTCTCTATGAGTACTAAGCTTGATAAATCATCGGATAAACGACCAGCACGAAGTAGCAGAGCCCTGCCTGCCTCGCTTTGCAACGCCGCCATACGCACCCGACTGCAACGAATTCAGCCCCCGACAATTACATTCCTTTCGTTTTAAATTTGATCGAAGCGTGATAGAAGTGAAACTGTAACTAAGCTCGTGCAATTGTCTGACATTGTTGCCTAAAATCCTCATGGTACTGTGCTTTCCTAGAGACCATGTTTCAGAAGCAAATCTTTGCAAACCCTAAAGACTTGAAACATTGAGTACTGGGATGTGTACCCCTCTGGATCGTTGTCGAGCACAAAGTTGACACCGGCATTGCAAAAATTGCAGACACCTAGTCATGCCAATTCTACACAATCAGTTCCCGACAAGGCATTTCCAGTCATGGATTTCCCTTAAAAACGCATCATCTAATCAGTTTAACATGTGTGACGAGGAAAATACAGCTGCAAGGAAAACGTAAGGACTCTTACCATCAAACAGAACAATAGGTCGAGAATCGGTGGCAAAGTACGAATCCGCCCTGCGAAGCAACTCTTCCCTACTCTCTGTGCCATAACTTGTGGCAGTGTTCGCAGCTGCCCTGATTGACATGCTCCGCATATTCCTTGGACTCGTCATACGATTTGGACGATTACACTGATTCAACCTCAACGCCGTTCGAGAATTTCCGAAACTGTGATTCGAAGCTCCAACCGCTACAATTTGTGCTACAGGTACACCTGCTGTAATTTCTAAACGCGGAGCTGCAATTTGCGCAACGCCTAAACTTGCCGCCATGGCGACTTGCTTGGTTGATTGCAGTGTTCCAACCTCTGATCCAAATCTTAGAAAATTATCGACGATGGGCATAAATAAACTGACTCATGAATGTCTCTCAGAAGCTGCGAAAATCCGCTTGAACACACAGCGTCAGCGTTCGTAGTGGTGATTGGGCAAGGGCGATCTATGCAAATATTTCTGACACGATCGCCCTGAGAATCCTAAAGGTGAATGTAAAGCGGGGTGGCAAAGTGGTGGCCACGTAGTCTTTAGACGAGTGTTCACTTCGCGTGGGCAATTACCAGCCGTGGATCCTTTCACTCTATTGCACGCCTGCTGTCGACACACCTCAATGGTTGCAGTGCTTTCATCGGAGGCAAATTGATTTTTTTTGAGGACAGGCTGAGCTCACGAGCTTCGAGTGCTCCATTTTTCACACAATTTTGACCACAATTAGACCCATCGCAGGGTTGCTCACTTTTTTCACCGAAACTATTTGAGTGAGAAGACATGCTGACGTCAAGGCAAGCTCCGCTTCCAGAAACATCCAGTCTGCATCAGTGAACTTGACCAGGATTAGAGTCCGAATGCTGATGAACCGCATTTTGACAGATGAGGGTGATTTTGGTTACAGGTCTCCAACCGCCCACTCATTTCAATCAGGTAGTTGCTTGTGCCGATGCTGTAATCTGGTGCAGTATTATGATACTCAAATGCACATCTGTGCCATTCGCAGCACGGACGTAATGTGTCGGAATCAGGAAATGAAATTGATTTCAGAATTCTAAGTTTTCCCTTCCGCAAACCAGTCATCTATCCAGCAAGTCCACAGATACTTCATGGCCGTTGCCTTGAATATCATTCGAAACTCTGTCAACGGTTTCCAAGTACTGCTCCGAAGTAGTCAAGACAAGCAGACAAACAGTTTCACGTAATTATGGGGTCTAAGTGTGGTGATTGCCACAAGCGAAATTAGTTCTTAAGGTTCATGACACATCTTCTCGGCATGTTGTGCTTTCGCAAGAGCAGAACCTGTTGTCAAGGTTGCTGCAGGGATCGGATCAGTCATTTAACGCGCACTAGTTGCTGAGGCTCTGAGATGCACATGGATGCTCTACACTGAAGATGGACATTCGAGACAAAAGAGCTGTTGCAGTTCCAGCAACATGGATTCAGCACCTGTAAATACGCTGAAGATGGGGTTGAAATAGATAACAATAGAAAGACAACAAGATGGTTTAGGAAACAACAGTTTAAAATAGACTACAGAAAGCATAGTCTCTTATTTAATTGGATCGCAAAGAATATCAAGGGTAAAAGTGCTCAAAAAAACTAAGGAATATCAAGCTCTGTATGTTGGCTCGGGCCGAGATGAATTCCTGGCTCACAAGCGTCTGTACAGCTACAGCTACAATCTCCGAATCTACCTTACAAATGGGTCTGATGCCAATCATTGTGTCTTTACACTTTGCAAATCCAAAAAATGACCCTACTTCTCTCTACTTGTTTTTTTCCATATCTGTATGACAACAACAAAAGTTGCAAAGGCCTACAAAAGCAGCAACATAAACCTCAAAATTACAGCAAGATATTCTGCCCTCTGAAAAAGAATCGTCTTCTACATCCTCATCATCCAAAACTCAAACATTCAGATGGAAAGCAAAAGCCGCTGCCGCTGATCATGGAAGCCCAGTTCGGATGAAAATCATGTATCTGGCTGTCAGGATGAAGAGCTGCATATTCAAGGCAAATTCCTTGGCTCACAAACCGCGCTATTCTGGCAGCTGAAGAAATCCCATCACATTCGAAAAGCCTCCAATGCTACTCGGACGCGCGCCGCTACCCATCCTTTATTTGTGTGTGCTATACCACAAGCTGATACATGAATGCCATCGAAACTGTCCGCCGTCTGTACTATTTGCATATGTGGAAGCCCATCCATTCTGATGCTTTCATTCAACGGTCACCAGAATGATCATGTCGCTAACCACTTGATTGTCGGGTGCCTCCACTCGCACAGCCGCTTGAGTTAATCGAACCAGCTATGGACTTGTGCTCTGCATGGCCACAGCCAGCATGCAAGCTACATGTACAGTGTGGCCGTATCATGTGAAGAAAATCAGTCCACAAGATCTCTACCCAACAATAAAATCTTAATTGCAAGCAGAGGGCCATAGCTGGTGATACACAACACGCACTGCATCGGGGCCGTCTCCATTGAATTCCTAGTTCCTCAACAAGGCTGGATAATCGATTGTCTTGATAAGTTGCTCCTCAGCATCGCTAAGCTTTCTAAGGTATGTGAAGAAGTAGAAAAAGATGGTCCCTTTCAGCGACGGTGTATCCCAAGGCAGATAGCCCAAAATGGAGAGCAATCTGGCAACCGTCAATCTACAGAACCCAAGTGGAAGCTGTAAGGAGACTCCGGTCCTGCCAGTTGAGGGAAATGCTTCCGCCAGGCTGCTGAGAAAGGCAATACCCGTCGCACGGGGACAGAGAGAGCAAGAGCTTCGCTTGAGTGACAGAATGGGAACTCAATGGCCATTGTCGAAAACCTGCAAGCTTCATTCGCTTTTGCCATAATTCTAAAGTCTCGTGACGCTCGATTCGGTCTGCACCTTCGCAAGCCACGATGTTCTTGATCTGTTGCGCGAAGTATAACTGCTCAATTTTCGCACGCTCTTCACTCGCCAACGGGAGGGAGCTGTCCAAAGAGTCAAAAACCGCTGCATAGTAGTGGAGTGCCTCCACAAATCTGCCCATGAAGGAGCTCGTGTTGTGGTTCGCTTCCTGTTCCACCAGGGTCAACATCACAGGATGTATACTCCGCAACCCCGAGATGAAGTTCTGCAATTTGTCGCCATTGTTGAGGAGGCGATGCAATTGCATCACACAGTTCACAGCTACCGCCTCGCCGGGTTTCGCGCCAAGCTCCATGGGGCTCAGATCTTCCAGCTCGCCGACCACAGCATGGAACTCAAATGGAACACCGTAAGTCTCCGCAAATGCTGCCAACCGCCGCCCAGTGTCCTGCAACGAAGTACAACTAGTGCCAACTCCAGTAATTTTGAGCTTCGGAGGACCGCCTTCGCGCTCGCTGAGAGATTGAATGAATCCCGGCCACTGAAACCCTTGCATCAAATCCATGTCGATGATGTGTACTACACTGTAACCCTCCACAGCCTCCAGGATGGCTTGGTTTGCCGTGAAATGGCCAAACTGAAAGTATGGGCAAATTTTGTAGAGAGTGGTGAAGGCAGACAGATAGTCATCGAGGTGAGATTGCAACATCAAGTTCTTGTATGCAGGGTTATCTTTGCCAACAATCCGTGCCGCCAATGCCTCCGTGAAGAAGGCTGCAATCCGCTGCATGGAGTCGCCAAAAAGCGACGCATGCGAATACAACTCCTCCAGCTTCTGCGTCGCAATCTCGATCTTATTCTTGGAAATGGCATCGGCACAAGCGAGAAGCAGATGCACAAGCTGCAATCCTGATGCCTCTGACTTCTTCCCTTGGTCGGCGGCAAATACACCCGGAAAAAGTCCTAACTCAAATCCTTCGTGATGATTACGAGACTGAGCCAAAGATTCCTCGTTGTCGCGCTCCCGCTCCACTGCATCACACTCCCGCTTGATCACCTCCAGGTTGAGAAGCGGCCGCACTGGCTGTTGACACCTTGATCCTGTCGGGTGCGACTCAGCCTGCGAGATGCATGTAACGCCCTCCGCTCTCGAAACGTCCTTGGACTTGATTTTTTGAAATGAAAGATGCGACTGCGTTGGACTAACATACGTGCCTCGCGAATGCGACACCTTTGAACTCTCACCAAGAGGTTGAGTTTCCAGCATGGAGGATGACGGAGCCTCCTGCTGAGAGCTTGAACTCGAGTACTCGGGTGCCACGATGGGTGGGGCCAAACATAAGTCCGCCGAAACTAAATCTAGCCTAGTGTCGGATGACTTCTGGGATTTCCTCGGTGAAGATGCCCGCGAATTCCTGTACTCACTTCCTTCCCTGCTGACACTGCTGCGGCCACCAACTCCTAGCACGAGTTCCGAGTCGCAACTCTCCTCAGCTAGCTCCGAATGTGAACGCTTCCTTGAGAGTGGAGGCGCCGAAAACGAGGTGCTCGCTATGTCGCACTCTTGCTTGCACTGCATCTGTTTGCACGACACCACCACAAACCCGTCCGAGGTCGTGTCTCGAATTCCTGTCGCCAATCCACTAGATCCTACATCCGACGACTTACTGGGCATTGCATTCGTGTGGGCAGAAAGGAACACGTCGTTGAATTGCCGCGACTTTTCCGTGCACTGTTTCTTCGAAGGGCTAACACTCGTTGTCGGCTGTAGAACCGCGGGTCGAAGGTACTGATGCACTTGAATCGGTTGCCTCGATGCCGACTTCCGAAGTGACGTGTGTGTATCACCACTGGGTGGGTGCGGCGCTGCATTCGACGTTGATGCATCCATCGAGCTCTGTCCCTGAGCTGAAAAAGGACCAAACGCCGAGAGCTCGTGTTGCAATGGCTTCCGCAGTGTAGGGTGTGTATCACGGTAGCTGGAGAAGGCGCTCTGAGGAGTATCCATCCGTAGTTTTCTCACAGAATCCACACCAGGCTCTTGCTTGACATAAAAGGAGCTCTGACCCCCTCGCAAATTTGTGGGTGGCTCCAGAAGTGACCCGAAGGGCGGCATCATAGAACTAGATATTCGCAGGAAATCCTCGGTTTCACCCTATTTCAGGTTACAAGTTCACGCCTTGACAATTGGTTAAATATTTGGCAAGTCTACAGCTTCAGAGGCTTCGGGTAAGTGAGCTGATCGTGCTACCTGGATTCACAATGCACCGCTACCTCGTAATCACCTCAGGTTGTGTGTGCTAAATAAGTGTAAAAGCAGCAATCTAAATCGCGGCGACCGCTTCTAGATCAGATCTGTTCGCGGTGGGCACACTCTTAGCCGGGTCTATGATCTAGACCAAATCGTCTTGAAATACTTCACAAATGCCCCCCTTTAGATCAAGTGGCACGAGTAGAGATCAACAGTGTCGAAAATTCTGACAATTGCCAAGAGCACCTTCGAGTAGCTGAAGTGGATAATTCCACAAATCGCAATGACGGAAATTTCGAAGTTCTCAAACCTTGAGCGCGAAGACTGTCCCAGATCCAGTGTAACAAATTGCGAAGAGCGTGTCTGTATGTCCTGGTGCAATTCTTCCCAGAAGCGATCAACTGTCTGGGATAATGCAAAGCTAAGTCAGAGGGATAAGAAGGGCCTCAATCTCCGTGTTCAGACATCTGCACTTCAGAAATAACTTCCAACCATCCGCATACTCCAGTTTGTGCTCCTGCAATTGTCGCGACAAACCCCAAGGAAAGATGAGAATCCAAGGAAACTGCTATGGCTCCAACCCAAGTACGCTGCATGTAGTGATTGCTCCCGAATGCACTTCAAAGCTATTTTGTGAGATGAAGATGTGACTACTTTTTCTTTTCCTCTTTTACGCGTGTAACATTCTGTGACACAAGCTTCTTTGTATCCAAAGACAGCGAGTATGGGATGGAGCTCTAACGCCACTGGCACTACAATTACAATTATTTCTTTGGAGCATGTTCTTCACGCTACTTGGGCCTCCCAGCGAAGAGCACATATTCTGACACTTTTAGAGAGAGTCAACCCCATGGCTGTACCCCGTCTGATACCGACACGAAACTACCATGCCACACGGACACTGCTAATCTACCACCACGGAAAAATTACGCTCCCACCGAGCATGTAATGATGTATGTCCGCAAGCATGATGGTGATGCTACAATTGGGGTGCACACCCCATTTCCACTTTCCCCGCTAAAACCAATAACGTGAGAAAATGAGAGAAGAAGTGGAAGAAGAAGATGGCTTACTACTCTACCAGTCTTTGTAAGACAAGGATGTGACTATGCAGATCCGGAACTATTCCACCAAACATGAGTGTAGGTTTCAGAGATTGGCTACAGGCATTTCTACCACACGAACGAACAGCGGAGGCTCGTTCACACGACACAGATTACAACACAATTTGGAGCAGCTTGCCCACTGAAAACTCAAAAATTGAGCCACCTCTCCAATGCACTCACCTCAACGCGGAAAACCCTCTGCACGAAGAAATTGCCCACTAGCGCGTGCGCACACTCACACACAAGCAAACACACGGAGCACCTCAAGACATTCAAAGACACCGAAGGTGGAAGCACGTAGCTATGATCCGACTCACGAACTCTAACTCCGCAACAAAATAAGCTGCACATATGATCTTTTTTTGTAATTTCCAGACAGATAAAAGAAAACTACAGAAGACGAAATAGAGGGAGGAGAAACACACAGACACTCATCACGTACTCGTCGATTCAAGCAGGAAGAGTAGAGGGAGCGCCCGCAATATGAGAGGAATAAAAGTGTGTTGCTAAAGGAACACTCACTCCGACGCCAAAACTTTCAACCCACTCCACCACTGCAAGGTAAGTAAGTAGGCCGAACAACGACTACTAATACTATTTCTACGACGACGACGACGATGACCAGAGGAAGATTAGCTTTGGTTGGTATGCAAGGAGGGGAGGTTGATGGGGGCAAGGAGGGAGTGAGGGAGGGAGGGAGGCTGAACTGAGAAGCGATGGAGGTGTGTGCACGGTTAGGGGGAGAAGAGGGGAGAGGCTGAGTCCGACAATGCACGACTGGGTAAGTGGCGCAAGTCTCAGCAATGGTGGCGATACGCAAGAAAGCCAATCCAGACGGCATGGGGCAGTTAATATGGAAGAGCCTCTCGCGACGTTGTCACTACGGCGCCGCACCTGCCTGGAACGCCAGCCAGCCAGCGCCGATCCCTCCCTCCCTTGCTACTGCTTTCCTTCCTTCCTTCCTTCCATTCACCGAGGTAACTCTGTTGTTCCAATGTTGTTGTTGTTGGGATTTTTTTTTTTTTTTTTTTTTTTTTTTCCCCTCCCCTCCCCTCCCCTCCCCTCACGGAACTGGTATTGATTGAGGGGGTGGCTGGCTGGCGAGGGGGGGAAGGGGGGGAGAAGCTGAAGCTGGATGAGAGGGAATCAAGGATCCTGTGCGCCATCTTGGAATTTCGGATTCATGCAGACGACGCCAACTAATGGTCAAACATTATGTTCCCCCGTCCTTCCTTCCCTTCTTGGTGCCTGCACTGCCTTGCTTGCTTGCTGCCTCAGCCCCAGCCCCACTGATGATGATCCTAATGCCGATGCCTCCTGCTGCTTCCACCTCCTCCCTATCCCCAACCCAACCCATGAATGAAGGAAGGAAGGAAAATTAGTGTGGCCAAACCATTTTGTATTATATTTGTTGTTGTTACTTCCCCTTTCTTGATGGTGCTTTCCCCTTCTCTGGTCTGTCAGCCTATGACCCAGCTTGTGCCCCCACCCCATCTAACTGATTGAATCACACTTGTGTATATATGTGAATATATATTATTTATTTGTATTTTAAATGTAAAAGATAAGTGCATGCTTCACCACTGCCTCTCCTTTTGTGCAGGGGTAAACATATAGATATATATATATATATATATATACACACAATGTGTTTATTCCTCACATGGGAGCTGCCCACTGTTGGGTAATAATAACACAAAGGATTTTTTTTTTTTTTCAGTCTTTTCAATGGGTTGTACAAGTATTGGTAAACATCTGCCATGAAAATTCAAAATCTGACTCCGCCCTCTCACTTTGCATAAAACAACAATGGTAAAAACTAAACGGATGAATTTTTAACACCTCAAAGGGGATGTGGAACAAGCCAAATGCTCTCACCCCTTCATTCATTCATTCATTCATTGGGGGGGGGGGAGAGGGTATTCATGTTGTGTGTGTGTGAGGGTGCAGTGGCAGCCAGCATCTGCCCCCTTCTTCCTCCTTCTCACATGACCACATGTGAGAGAGGCATCTCATTTTAATTTAAGAAACTCCCCTTTATCCTTCTCATTCCTTTACAACTATCCCTTTTTTTTGTATGCATTCAATTTGGGTTCTATTAGTGGGTGGAAAAGCTCTCTCGCCATAGCCAAGTAGTATATTTCTTGCCATGTTTTTCTTATTTTCTTTTTTCTAGTTAGACCTAGCAGCCAATGCAGAAAGTAGAAGCACATGGTGGCCTGCAACAGTATTGGAAGGTTCTCAAGTGACAGTCACAAATGAAACCCCCTCAATTTGTGGTTCTCTTCACCCACCAGTGCACCAATCCTTAAGCAGCAGCCATATCCACAAAGACCTAATGGAGCATGGGGTTTGACAAAAATGGCAATTAAAGGATTTCCGAAGATGGTGTGGTGCAAAGGAGGAGGAGAGGGCAATTTCTATTTTCTGTTCGAGGTCAATTCTGAAGGAGAATCTGGTGGGGTCCAATTCCAGTGTAGTAGTCACAAGGAGAAATTTCCTCCTCCTGAAGATAGGAGAGGGAGGGGCAGTGGTGGCATGACAACAGAAGCAGCAGACACAACAGAAATCAGCAGACAAGTCTGCTAACCCCCATGGATTCCCATCGGAATTGATAAGTATTTGATCATTGACATACCAGTATATACTTACACATAAAAAATGAAAAATAAATTGGCAGATGAAGAGAAGCAGGAAATATACACCTTCGAGCCCATGATCAAGGTCAAACACACATACACACACACACACATGCAGAGTGAGGGCAAGGGGGAAGGGGTAAGAGGGGGGGGAGAGTAAAGCATGCAGGCCATCTCTCCGCACGAATAATATTGAGTAACGAAGCACAAACAAAGATGGCGAGATTGATGCACCTATGTGAGAGTGAGAGGAGAGAGAGAGAGAGAGAGAGAGAGACCTGGCTGATACCCTCCCCTCCTGCCTCAACCTCGATTTTCAAATATTTCTCATTGGGAATTGGTGGTGGGGGAGGGGAACTGAACTGATGGAGACAAATAGAGAGCAGGACAGTGAGTGGGGTTACTAGTAGTAGTGCAGTTGGGTGAGTGAGAGCATGATTCTTCTTTCATTCCCCTATTTCTTTCTTCCTTTCAACAGGGGCAGGGCAGGTGTAGGGCAGAAGCCACTCCAGCGTGGCACTGACATCCAACTGCCCTCCCCTGCCCCACTCAGTCATCCTTCCTACCCACCAAACCCAACTCAGTCAGTAAGTCAGTAAAGCAGGGGCAGGTGGCTGGTCTTAGAAGCACAATTCGGAGGATGAATGAACGCAGGGGATGAATGGAAGGACAAGGATGATGGATGGAATTCCATTGGCAGGCAGGGAAGAATATATTAATAATAATACTACTATACTATGTGCTTATGACTTGTTTAAAGGGCATTATCGTAGAGGGAGGCAGTGAGGTGGGGCAAGGTAGTGTTGTTCTATTGCGCAGTCATTAATCAAGTAATCAATCAATCTAGGGTTGTTTTATTACTACGGAGGAGGTGGAGAGAGAGGGGCTGCTGAAGCTGGCCACCTGCACTACATCTCCCCTGCCTGCCCCTCTCTGCCCGCCTCCCCGCCTGGAATCTCTCTCCCACGCCCATAAACCCCCCCCCCCACATGCCTCACGCCCACCACTCCCTCCCACGGTCACCCATGACCGCTTCTTGTGGTTCCGTCGGCCACTTGCGCAAAGCTGAAGCCACGCCTTACAGTTCGAATTTGGAATTGATAAATCAAAGTCCCATTCTTCCATGCTCTATGCTCAGATTTGTGTAGAACTTTCTTCGCTTTAGTGCATGTGTCTTAACTTGTTCGTCATTACACAATAATTTTGGATTTTGGAAACATCATTTGATAATAATAATAATAATAATAGCAAAGGGGGAAATGGTGGTGGTGTTGATACAGTGCATAGTCCCCTCAGCTTTTTTGGGTGCTGCCATTTCAGAACTGGGTTTTCACAAAAACAAAAACAAAAACAAAAACAAAACAAACAAACAAATAAACAAAACAAAACAAAACAAAAATATAGACAACCCAAACCACACACATACATATACCAAACTAAACACATCTTTAGAATCAAATTTTCATAAACTGATATTTAACATGATACATCTTGAGTTTTATCTTATCACTTGTACATGTTAATTGCAAAGCTGCTAATGAACATGGCACAATACAATCATGTTTGCTCACACAGTACTCCACCTTATTTATATGTATGAACAATTTCACATAAAATTTAAAAACTTAATTACATTTTTTTTTCTGGGAACAGCATGAATCATAAAATGTATAAATAACCAGCTTTGGCATGCTCCTTAACACCACTTATTGCATTAAAATGATACATGAATATGGAAAACACTGTGCCTGAAAAGTTATGTGCACCAGTATAAACGTTTTTAACGGTTGGACAAAATAATTGTGGATGATTAATCTAGAATTAAAGGCTGAATTGGAACCCAAATCATGCTATATAATTTATTATAAAAATTAAAATAATTAGTAATGATATAAACTAAATTAATTATACACAAGAACCTTATTGTGAAACATCAAATTTAATTTAATGTCTACAAATTTTATGAATTAATAAAAAGTATAATACCTTATTCTTTGAGTTTTGCATATAAATATATATATATATATATATATATATATGCATGCGTTTTAGTTTCTGTTCCTTAATTTAAGTACATTTATTGTACAATCTCCATTGTCCAACACGATAGTTTTCACACATTTATATTTTAAAAAGTTTTACACTCATAGATATTTGTCATGTAATTGCATGCAGTCTAACATGTAAAACATTGCAAAGAAATTTTGGCCACCACCTTGATATTTTACAAGTGCTCTTGGATATGAACTTTCTTCTTGTGCACTTTTATCTGGTTATAGTTAGATTTACTTAGATATAAGTGAACACATGCTATGAAAATAAGGCATTTAACAAAAAAAAAATAATAATTGGACACATAATCTGTATCATTCTGCTTCAGTAAAAAGTGACAAGCCACCCTGGAATTGAGTTTGGATACCCTAAAAAAAACATTAGAAAACAAACTGATCCGTGTTTTTAATGCATGTAATTATCAAATGATTCACATGTATATAAATATATATATATATATATATATACAAGCCCTTTGTATTGACTATCATTTGGCATCTGCTTCAAATGAGTAGATCTGCACAGAAACTTTGTGAGCTTATCTATGATTCTAGTACCTTTCATATATATATAATTGGTTAGTCAACTTTACCATTAAATAGAACCATGTGATTTCAAACATGTCATCACTTATATTTTGTCAATAGAATGCGGTGAATGGCAATTTGTTGATAGCAAATCCTATTACAAAACCAGGAACCTAGAAAAACAATGAAAACAAGCAAAAACTCTCTAAGGTCCTAATGTATGCAAGGAATTTGCATTTATAGGATGCAAATTAAAGTAATTAAGAATTGCCATACCCCACACACACACATTACATATTCAATATATTTTTAGAGAAGCAGGTAGCCAATTGGACTCCTCTTCTTAAGTGTAGTGCTCTAAAGGTCACGATTAGTTGGAATAGATGGAGGCCTTATTGTTGCATCACTTTGGACCATCTATGGTTGAGAATTATCCAAATATTTGTTTGCCTCAATGTGTGAGAGCCGTTGCAGACATGAAATTGTATTATAATTTAGAACACCATCAATCAGACTGTCCTACTATGATGGGTGCCCTTGTTCTTAATTATTTTTCCTTTAAAATTATTATCTTTAAAGGAAAAAACGCCACAAGACCCCCACAAATGTCCAGTTCCAAATCCTCC